ATCTGCCGTGCGATTGGGAGCTTTGTGCGCTGTGGGATGGGTTTCGACAGCTTATTTTGCACTGTTACTCAGTTTTAGTAAACACATCAATGTTTTTTGTAGAAGTTAGTTTCATTCTAGTGACCTCCTGATCCGTACTTTTGATAGGTCTTGCTTTTTAAAAGCTGATCTGGACTCCACTTGTCGATTCTTGAATTTAAATATTAGTAATACGGTATATATTTAGGACACATTTCTTGTGGCTGCGGTGATCCGACCTTTGGAATGTGGCATGCGATATCTGTCACTTCGCCTGGAACTTATTTTTGTTTCAAAACTGCTTCATTCCGCGCGAAATCTAATCCTAATCATACCTCTTTTTAGCGTTTTAGCCTCTGCTTTCCATGAGAGCAGAAATGCCGTTTGGGGAGACACAGCATTTCAAATGATAATGCGAGGATTTTCAATTTTCATCGTTAGTTTTGCCAAAGTGAACTGATTTTTATATGCAGGAGTCCATCGCCAGAACCAATCTATGATGCCAGTGGAAAGCGTTTGAATACAAGAGAAATTCGGAAAAGACAGGAGTTAGAACAGCTGCGCCATGAAAAAATTCAGGCATTGTTGAAGTTGAATCCAAATTTCAAGCCACCGGCTGATTACAGGTATTCCCTGGTTTTTTGTGTATCAAAGCAGATGTTTTGTCAGGAAGACTGCTAATCTTTTATTGAATTTTTTTTTCTTTTTGTGCCATTTCGTCTATCTTGCAGAGCACCAACAATCCGATTGCATGATAAGGTATGGATACCACAGGAGAATCATCCAGAAATCAATTTCGTTGGTCTCTTGATTGGTCCAAGAGGAAACACTCTGAAAGCTCTGGAAGCAGAGGTCCAGCAATTCGTTTTCAATTTGTTTGTCAGTGTGACTGCTTTCATTTTGTTAAAACTATTTGCGACTGCACGAATTTTTGCGCTTCCTTGATTTTTCTTTCCGATCATTTCACTTTCTTTACTGTATCACGATGCTTGTTAGACTTTGCTTATTCCAGACCGGT